ATGTCGGGCGAAATATGGGGGAAAGGGTTGGTTTGACGAGTAGCGATGCCACGCTTGTGCGAGTGATTAAACCAGGGGTGGATGGGAAGGCATGGAATCGACCTAGCGATGAACTCGGTGGGGGGCAAGAACCCACGGCGATAGAAAGGCCAAGGAAAGGGTTCGTTTCCGATAACGATGCTTCCCAGTTCTTTACGACGCATTGGCTAGAATGGACAGACTTGATGTTGGCAAGAGTTTGGGTAGAGGGGGGATGGCATGGCTGGATGGCATGGCTGGATGGCATGGCTGGAGAAGGGTTGGGGAAAGGGTTGATTAGACGAGGAGCGTTGGGGCGCATGTACGAGTGAATGGAAAAATCATAGACTTGAGGAGGGAAGGAGGTCTCTTTCGCTAGAAGCTCGGGTGAACGAGAGTGAGGGAACTTGTCGTTACTTGGACAGCCAGGTGTGTGTTTACCCTACAGCTAGGGTGGAGACGAGATGCCATGGCGGGGTAAGGGTTGGGTGAGGGTTGGGTGTAGCGAACGACGATGCCGCCGAGGCCTGAATGAGCAAACGAAGCATGGGCTGGAAAGCAAGGGGTCGATCTATGCAGGAGCCCGGGTAGACGTGAGATAGCATCGCGGTAAATGGGTCGTTGTCTGGGTGCTTTTGACGAAGAGAGATGACGCGCAAGCATGCGTGAGTGAATACGGCATCAGCTGGAAGGCGGGAGGGAGGTGTAGCATGAAGGTTGGGGGAAGGCAGGATGGTATGGCTGGAGAGGAGTCGGGGAAGGTGTTAGTTCGACTAGGAATGATGTCACGCAGGTGAGAATGAGTCAAGAAGGCATGGACTGGACCGGAAGAAATCGGTGTAGCCAGGAGTTCGTGTGGACTTAGGATTTCATGGCTGGAGGAGAGTCAGAGGCCGGTTTGGCGAAGTGCAATGCGGCGTAGGTGAGAGTGAGTGAGGTAGGCGTGGGTTGGAAGGAACGGCGTCGGTGTAGCCAGGAGCAGGGGTTGACTGGAAATGTCATGGCCGGCAAAGTATCGGGTTAACGACTGTTTTGGCAAGGAACCCTGCAGCGCGAACAAGGCGTGTGTTTGACGCCTCGTTCTCTCACACTCACCTGTGTTGCAGGGCTCTTGGTCGAACGAGTCCCTTTGCCGACCCTTCTCCAGTCATTCCATCTCCCCTTGAACTGAGTGTGGCTGGCATGGATGGCATGTCTGTAGAAGGGTCGGGAAAGGGACTGGTGTGACGACGTGCAGCTGCAATGCAAGAACTGTTAGTGAACACGGCATGCGTTGGGAGGTACGGAGTCGGAGCTCCGCTGGAAGCGAGATATGATGAAGGGAGCATGATCAGGGAAAATAGTAGTTTGGCGAGGAAAGATCTCACGCGTTGGAACGCCAGGGAAGCTTGAGTGGATAAGGTAGACGACAGGAGGCGTGGAGTCGGAGTCGTCTTAAAACCGAGATGGCATGGTGAGAGAACGGCGGGCAGAAGGGATGGCGAGGAGAGATTGCACGATTGGAAGCGGTCGTACTCAGGGCAGTGTGAGTGAATGTGGTCAAGGCGTGCGTCGGCAGGCACGCGGCCGGAGCCCGGTCGGACGGAAGACGGCATGGCGGGAGAAGGGTCGGTCGGGGAAGGGATTGGACTGGCAAGGAGCACTGCTGCCCAGGTGAGTGTCTGTGAACAAGGCGTCCCTCGTGAAGCCAGATGGCATTGCGGGTGAAGGGTCGGGAATGAGATTGGCTTAGTGAGGAAGGATGGAATGCAGGTGATTAGACTATTTGTTAACAAAGTGTGCATTAAGAGGAACGGAGCTGGGTTGGACGCGAGATGGCATGGCGGGAGCAGTTCGCAGAAGGGATTGGTAGGCAAGGGGTTCAGAAAAGAGCGATATATAAATGCGTGTGTCGAGAGGCACGACATCGGAGTGTCGCTGGACAGGAGAGAACATGGCTGGAGGAGAGTGGGGGGAATGCTTGGTTTAGGTGAGTAGCGACGCCACGCAGGTGATACAGTCTCTGAAATATGCGTGGGACGAACGGAGTGTAAGCGCTGGCCAGGAGATGGCACGGCGGGAAAAGGCCGGGGGTGGGATTGCATCGCAAAGAACGTTGCATCGCAGGGGTCTCCCACACTTTCTACAGTTTTGTTTAAACGCCCGTGGGACACCCATGGGCAGCCCATGGGTTACCCATGGGTCACCCATGGGCACCACGTGGTGCCCATGGGCAGCTCATGGGTGACCCATGGGTCTTTGTTGTCCATGGTTGACCCATGGGCGTCCATGTCAAAACCCATGGGAAGCCCATCGGCGGCCAATGAGAGCCCTTCAACCGGAACCAGTGTACTCCTATCTGCTCTGGGACGGGAATTAGAGCGGATAACATCCCTAACGCTAACCGCGACCCTAACCCAAACTCCAAGCCCACACGATACGCGTTAGGTTGGCACTGGCAGGTTGATGTGCAGGTGGCTATTCTGGGTTGATATGCCGGTGGCTAATTTATAGGTTGAAGTGCCCACGGTGGGCACTTCATGGGCACTTCATGGGTACTTCATGGGCCACCCATGGGCACTTCATGGGCCACCCATGGGCATGCCCATGGGCGGGTTAGCAATGCTGTCGGTTGTGTGGGAGATTACATGTTGGTCAAACGAGTCCCTTCCTCGACCCTAGTTCAGTAGGTAGGGCCATCTCGCTTCCAGCCGAGCGTCGCTGGAACCGAGGTGGCAAGACTGTATAACGGTCGGGGACAGGAGGACTGGTTTGAAGACGTGGACCTCCAAGGCAGCAACGTGTTATTGTTAAAAGCATGTGTTGGGAGGTACGGGGTTGGACCTCCGCTGGAAGCGAGATGGAATGGCGGGAGGGGGATCACGGAAGGTGTAAGGAATGGCGAGGAGCGATCTGACCTACCTGTGGAAGCGATCCTACCCAGTGGTGTTTGAGTTAACAAGGCCAATAGCTATAGACATGGAGTCTGAGCTCGTTTGGAGGCGAGACGACATGACTGGAGAAGGGTCCGCAATGGGGTCCGTTTGGCGATGATGGACGCTAGACAGGTGACATGGAGTGAACGAGGCTTTCGCTGCAACACATGGAATAGATTCACCCAGGAGCTCGAGTGGACAGGATATTACATGGTCGGGGAATGTGGTTGGTATGCCCAGGAGCTGTGTCACGCATGTTTGCGAGAGTGAATACGGCGTGTGGGTTCGAGGGGATCGGATCGGTGTAGCCACCGGGTGGACACAAGATCAATATGAGAGTGAGTGAACAACGTGTGGTGGTTTGAAATGAATTTGGCTTGTCGACACAGACCTGTTAAGTTGGCAAGATGACATGGCACGTGCGCTGCTCGGGATAGGTTCGACGAGAGGCAGGGTGTGTGGTCACAAACGTGAAGGGTATCGATACTCTCGGTCTCGTGGTTCTTGGACGGGGCCCCGCAAGTTTGTCTGACAGTTTGATGGAAGCACTTGCATCCAACGTGCCCAACCTCGTATTGTTTCACGTTGTTGACAAATCGCAGTTCCTCGAGGGGGGATGGGTGCCGCACATCATGGAGGGCCTTCATCATGGTGTACGCGTGTTCGGTGGGCTGTTGTACGACCAATACGCATGAGGAATCTAACCTCATCGCTTTGTTGTATGCCACAAGAGGGAAGTTCTTGTCCGTCATGCCATTGTTCGCCGACAGCGCAGCAAGCCGAACTGAAGATTGGTCAAGGATACTGCCTTCCTTGGCAAGGAGCGGTGGACGTTTGAATTGGCCTATTGGAGACGTTGGTAACTGCGTGTGGGAAGGCGTGAATACGACAAGTGGTTGTCACCTATTCTTTGAGGAAGAAAGCCCATACGAAGAGTGAAACAAGGCGGTTACCACCTCCTCCAGCGAGGGTGTTCAACATGTATCCTAACTCTTACCGCTTGTCCGGGAAGCTTGTTCACGGTCCTACCGTTCGTTGAAAAGCGAGTTTGTCGACCACATCAGCGGCACGATGGCCTAGTCACCCTTCTTTTTTCGTCAATGAACACAAATTCTGTGAGCACGTCTGCCAAACTGTGTGGACGCGTGCTAAACCTGGAGCAAGCTCCTTGTCGGCACCTGGCTGACACCCGAGCGTTTACTGAAATCATCACACGTTGTGTTTTCGTTGAAGGAGCTTGGTTTCCCCCCCGTTGTTGAGTCCTAGAGGCGCGGCTCCTTCATACCCTCTCGGCCTTCTCCATACAGTCGACAGGTTCTCAGCGTCCCCATTTTCGAGTAACGGCTCCTAACTCCGGTCCATTTTCAAAACCGCCTTTGCATCATTCGTCCAATGGTCTCAAGCCCCAAAAGCCCTTAACTCTGGTCCATGCACGAAAACGGATTTGCATCATTCATGTCTCAGAGTCCCGCCGGGTTTTATGTTTTACCACGCTCTCTTGCAACCGCTTGATTGCCAGTTTCGGCCAGCCGAAGCGCTGAAGTGCAAGTGAGCACCATCGAAGAGAGGCCGTCTATCTCTCCCCCTCCCGTGCCGCTCTGGTTGGTCCTCAGCAATTTTCGCCCAGAGTGGCTGGCCACCGAGCAAGGCCTACGCAACGGCGGCTACCATCATATCTCCGGAGCGGCGGTCGCCGCTTATCTTACTTGCAACAGTGATTGCTCCGCAGAATGGCGTTCCGTCACCCCCGTGACAGAATGTTGCTTTCAGACGAACAGCAAGCGCGCGAGAAAGTAGGCCGCAGGTTACTAAAAACGAGCCAGGCGAAGCAAATTGCAGGAGGTGGATACGAAAATATACGTCTTCCATTCCGCCACCTTCCTGGCTGGCAAAGGTCTCGGGCGCGAGAAAAGCGCACAACCGGTTTTGACGGGCGAAGGGCTCATGATAACACAACGAAGCAACGCAGACGGACATGCTGGGGAGAACTGCCCCCACATTGCACGGTGGTGCTCGAGAAGCGCAAGAAAAAAGATATGTCATGTACGGTGGCGCTGAGAGGTCCAAATGCACCGTGGAGAACAAGGAGGAACCAACAGCATCTTGTGACTCTGAATCGTGCCCACACGCGACACATGTCGCAGCAGAGTACTCACGAGGATGTACGCGCACACAAAATGGCGGCGGTCGTGGTTCATCAAAGAATGAATCGGCCGTCTTGAAATGTTGAACGATCTCTCCAAACTTTCATTCAGACGTTGCGCGTAAATACACTCACGAGAGAACCATGAAGGCCGCAATGGAAATGACGGTGTACTTGACGGGGAGGGATTCATTCGCCGCGGTTGCTTTCCCGGCCGCTGCCTCTGCTGCTGCCGCCGCCGCTGTGGTGCTCCCGGCCGCGGCAGTTCCTTGCGCCCCTTCGACCCCGGGCAAATCTCCCGCAAGGACTGGACGTTACAATATCCGTCAATGCATCCAACCGGAACCAACAACGACGCGTGGCAATATACGAAGGAGTGAGTGAAGCACGGGGCAAGAGTGAAAACGGAGCGGTGGTGTGCCGTGAATACACGACTCCGGATAAAAGTCCGTTTCAAGCGACGATCGGTTGATTCTCTCCAAGCGTCTTCCGCGAGATCCAGCTGGTTGCCGGCTTGTAGTGAATTGAAGAACGTGGGGGTGACTGGAGATGACAGTGCAAAGCGTGAAAGTAGGCGAGCGGGGCTTCCCTCGGAAAACGCCCGGGCACATGATTGGCTTCAGGGGCACATGCCTCCCTCAGGGACGTGGCTACGAATTTCCTTATTTCGAAAACAGCGCAATCGCTGAAGCAAACGTGTGTACGGACCCCAGGCTGTCGGTTAACAGGTTCACCTGGTGGCGGTATACCGGCGTTGGCGATCGGTCTTGGGGGATAAGGGTCCTCGATGTAGGGGACTTCGGAGCACAGAGCACACCCCTGCGGGATCGAAAAGGGACGAGCGAAGTCAAAAGAGACTGCGTAACAAGGCAAAGGGGATCGGATAACAGAAGCAGTACGAGCACCAGCGGTCGGCAGGCGCAGTGCGTTGTTTTCACTCACTGCCTTGATGGAAAACCTAAACCCGAAGTGAACAAAGGATCAGCTGCTTGGCGAGTGAAAAAACGACGGTTGTACCTTGTGGCACATGTCGCAACTTGAGCGAATGTCGGAACAAACAAATACATGCAAACGTCGACGCGATGGCCATGAAAGCACTTTTCACTCATGTAATGAGGCGTTTTCGTATGACCTATGCTAAGCAACTGCCAGCTGCTTTGTCTCCGTTCTCTCAGCCACTTCAAAACAACCGAAAATATGTCAACTACTCGGACCGCGCTGCCGTTTTTCCCAGGCGCTGTCACTCTCCAATGACGCCATCGGTCTCACCGCCAGCTGGTTGAAAGCGTTATGGGAGTTCACATAGTCCGCTCTTAGCATGGCGTCCCTGAGCCGGTCCTCGCTGCCGCTTTTCTTGCTCTCTGCAACTCCCTCGCCGCCGGAAGACGGAGGCGGGAATGATCCCGGCCGAAAGTAGTTGTCGCACACATGTCGGAAAAGGCTGCGCAGCGCATTGCAAGGAAACCAACAAAAAGGAACTATGGGAACCACCCGCACAGATATGGACGTCAGCAGCAGGCATACAAAGTCGTGCCCCAAAAGCACACTCAGGAAGCCCTCGGCAGCACTACTACAGGGCATCACGTCGGTCAGCACCAGCACGGAGCGCAAATTGAAATTGTTGACAAACAATGCTTCCAAGGAAACATGCGATGCACGATAGCATACATTTGTCGAACATCGCGACGAAACTAAGGCAGCAACCGCAGCAGGAAAGGTGGGGCATACAAGAAAACTACAAAAAAGCGGCTCCCGTCTGACCCCGGCTGATACGTCAAACATGTACCGCACCAACTGCTGCGGAGGCTGGCGCCAGCATCGATCGGACAAACATACACACACAGGGTCCCAGACCACGGCCTCTGGAAACATTTTCGGTTTGCAGCCGCACTGTGGCTGAGGTCATTTCATGGGTAAGCCATTTAACGCGGGCCGAACCTAACAATCAAAACACACACAGAAAACGCTATGACTAGAAAGCGTGTTCGCGCATTTTATCCCGCTACGAGACCGGCATCGTTCCACTAGTCAGCTGGTTAGCGCTGCCGATGCCAATAAGCACACACACACACACACACACACACACACACTTGGTAGACGTGTCCAGTTTTCTTCTGTTGCTACTGTTTCTGTCTTTGATCCGAAGGATAGCTTAGCCTCCCCCATGCTGCCCCCTCACGGGGTCCCAGTTCATGGCAGATAGAAGTGTTTTGTGTTTTCAACCGCACTAAGACTGACGTCTTTTCATTGGTCAGCCGGTTAGCGCGGTCGATGCTAATAATAAAAACATGCACACAGGAACAAGAAGGGGCCAAGTAATCACCGAGACAGGTTGTCGAATGCGGGAAGCAAGTCCAGCAGCACCGCTATCGTCCACGCCTCCGCAAGGTGCCCGAAAACCACGGCATCGACGGAAGTAGGTCTCGATCCGAAGAAAAACGCCTCCTTGCTGTTTCCAAGCCTCAGGTCGAGGGCCGCGTACATTTCCTTGGCCCGGCCTATCAGCTCAGCCTACGGGGGGGGGGAAGGGGGAACGTGGGTGGTTGAGAAAATGTGTTTATTGTCGTTGCCTTGTAGTCTGATGGTATCATAGAGTAGAGGCGATGGGCCGAAGTCATACAGGCTCCAATCCCCAGTGAAACAGGAAGAGGACCAACCGGAGTGATCGACGACGAGGAGTGAATTGGAGGTGGTCGTCCGAGGCTCGTATTTCACTAAGGCCTAAGGCGTACCAATAGACCTCCCTTTTGGGCATGTTCGCAAAAAGCCGGGGAGAAGATACGTCCGGCTTGGGTCACGAGTGGGGAACAAACGACGGACGACCTCAAAATCACGGACACACACAAATACATACACACGCCGCACTGTGACTGTCTTCTTGGCATTGGTCAGCCGGCTGGTGCGGTCGATGCTAATGAAAAAAGACAAACACAACCACACATTGGTCAGCCGGCTAGCGCGGTCGATTCTACTAGAAAAAACACGCAATCACATGATCAAAGAGCGTCGGCCAGTGAGCACGGTCGGCGTTAACCATTAAGACACACATTCACTCACACAGCCGGTTTGCGCGGTCGATGGGAACAAGAAGGACTCGCACACACACCATGACGCCGACTCACGGGGGCCCAAATAATGACATTAGAAGAATATCTTGTTTTCAACTGCACTGAGACTGATTTCTGTTTTTTGGGTTACCCCGTTAGCGAGGTAGACGCTAGCAAAACACGCACACACACGCACGTCCCATCGTGGCCAATAGAACCATTTCCTGTTTTCAGCCCCTCTGAGGCTGACGCCTTTCACTGGTCACAGCGAGTTGGAATGGTCCACGCTAGAAATAAACCCACTAAACAAACACACGATGTGTAGCACACGCAGGGCACCTTGCTCAGCCGGTCGAGACCGCGAACCGCAGACTCCCGCTTGCTCCGCCGGCCCTCCGCGGCGGGCGACCACCACGACAGCGGCCAGGACAACGCCTTCTTCATCGGGGGATGGACCTGCACGACCAACAAAACCGACGAGGTTGAGAGGGTCGGAAGGGAGATGAGTGTGAGACGGCCGGAGGATGAAAACCTGCACCGCTACGCCGAGACAGGAAGGAGGGTAGCGAGTGTGCGTTGCCATGGCACACCCGTTGAGCGGCCAAACAAAACAGCGGGGAGAACTGTTCGGGAAGAGGCATCGGGTTCTCGCAAGGAAGGCATGTGCATGGCCATTCTTCCGCGCGCGGAAGAAGAAACGAACCGCGGGGTGGCAAAATCCAAGAGGACATGGGGTGGGAGACCCTAGGACACACAGCTAGCAGAGGCAGTTGTACGGCCGGACCTTGTAAACCCTCCTACCCATGCCGTTTTCATTTGGTGACCGCCTGGAAAGCGTTCGGGGTCAGGATTCGAACACAATAAGCTGCCGCCCCATACAGCGCCTACCGAACATCACCCCAGGATTCATCATGCTCCGCATATCTCGACACACCCGGATGGCCAAACCCCGTCCAGGCCAATTCTGACCCCACCCACATACCGTTTGCCGGACTTCGCCCTCGTCCCCCATGTAGCGCATCACCCGAAGGAGCGGCTGGAGCCCCTCCCTCACCAGCATGGCTAACGCCTGAGCCTCCACCTGGGACGTGGAATGTGCGCGCGAGGGAAACATGCTAGGTATACAAACGCTGACTGAACATCAGCCGTTACACATTAACATATACCGCCGCTTGTGGAGAGGCCAGATGCGAAGTCTGGCGTTGGTCACCCCCGAGGCCAATCATGAAAACCATCAGACTAAACAATACGGACGCCTACGTGCCAGGAGGGCTCTCTTTACACATACAGAATGAGGCACACTTCTGGAAACGGGAGTGGTTTCTTCAGGACCGAGGGGCGGAGGGGGAAGCATGAGGTCGGTGCCTGTACTCTGTACACTTTTTTATGCCATTTTCATACACCGAAGGCCACCCTGGCCCCGACGGAGAGGAGTACAAAACAGTCCAACTTGAATGCGATACCGCATGTGCGTGTAGATGCTTGCTGGCGGCGTCTCTGTCACCCATCACGGCACAGTGGGGACATGCCGACTCAACAACACCTCTCCACTCCCACAACGCGGCGGAGTACCAGCGCTTAACGTCTTGGGCGAAACAACACCAGCCACTCAAGCGAGCACCGCGCAAACGAACCCACTCACCACACACCATTCCGCCGCGCGTATTGTAACGTCTGGGCTACCACACCTTCGACCAACAAGAAGCGACAAACGAACACAGACGCCAAACACGCAAGGGAGCACCGCGAAAAGCAAACCTTCTCCGCTTCCGTGAGGCCGACGTCCACGTCACTGCGCCTGCTGGCGATGTGGCCGGCCGCGTCCTCGGAGCGGAGGACGAACTGGCCGTCCGTGAGGGCGGGGTACAGGCCCGTCGCCGCCGACCCCATGTAGCTGCTGTTCTCGACTCTGGGTGCCATGGGTGAACGGGTGTGCGGGGGGATGTAGACGAAGGTCTCGTTGTGGGGCACGCTGTGTAGGCTCACTCGAACTCGCAAAGAGCTTTGCAAGTTTGGTGAAGCGCAACATTTCCCACTTTGAAAGGCAGTGTTCGACTGCGTTTGTGTTGGGGTGTGTGTGTGCTTGGGGGCAGACAGATCGAGCAGGCATCAGTAGGAAAACTCAGGCAGACCGCCGAAAAATAGAAAATGCCGTGTGTGTTTGGTATCTCGACTATCGCCTGTAGTCGAGAGTGTGACCAAGAAACGAACATCGAACATTATCATCCGCCAGAGAGTGGTCACGAGACAAGCATCAAACATCAACATCCATCACCACCATCACACCAACGAAAATACTGACGGCACCGGCAAACGAAGAATGGAACAAGCCCAACGATTTATTACTCCCACCGCCACCACCGCGACCACATCAACACGAGCCACAACAGCAACGAATCACAGTGGACATTAGAACCCAACAACACGACCTCCAATACCACCACCCCTCATCACTTCTACGGCGGAACTCCAGCAAACAAGCACCGCTGGTGTTGGTCTGTCCACCTGTAGGGCAAGCGGACGAAGCGGAGGTGTGCTTGAATCTCCCAAGCGGGGCGAAACTGTGTCACCACCATCACGTCCAAAGCACTCCCATGAGTGATCACGGGCCCCTGCGACATGACAACCACGGTCGGGCAGGGGGGCGACGAGAGGATCGGGCCAGGTCTGGCGGTATATTGCGACCTGTTGGTCCACGCTACATACCGATGTAAACCATCCCGATCTCTCCATGTTGTTATGCGCGATGGGCCATAACGAATGATGTTGTGCACATCACGGTTCAAATGTATCCGCTTTCCATTTCGAGGGCGTTCTAATGAGAGAAGTTGGGTTGTGTTTGCTGTTTCTGAAACCCGATCAAAGGGGCCTGCCGCACTGTTGTAACCGCAGCTGTCCAAGCCTATTGGTCAACTTTGGTGCTACTGATCGATCTGTCATTTTTCTCATGAAGATGAATTGCTTCTTGGCGACCGCCCCCGCCCAACGCAATCTATCTGGCGTTCTTTCTATGCGAAAGTCAGCACCGCCGTTTGCGGTAGGCACTACTGCTGTAGGTGCTCTGCGGTCGTTTTCAGGACCACTGAACATCAACATCGTGAGCGTATTCGACGCACCAGCACGCCTTGTCTGCACACCTACAGCGTGCGAGTCTATCGTACTGTGTACGTATGAGTAGAAGGAAACACGATGCAAAATGTGCACTCCACATGCGCACTTCACAAATGCAATGCATCGGTGAATTGGTACCACTACACAGCAGACTACCGATGCCTGCCCCGTCTGGAAAGGCGCGTACACAACGCACACAAAAGACAGAAATCGTCTCACAGGCTGTTCCAAGTCTGGTTGCTCTTCAATCCTCCCCCACGAACGTAAGGCACGCAGAGGGTTCCACGACGTTCTAACCGGGACAGCGTCACCATGTTCTTCAGACGCCATCACCCGCGTAGGGTTGATGTTCAGTGTGCGTCGGGTGGACTGCTGTCTCGTCTCTCCCCACTGCCTCACTTGCGCCCCGGAAACAAAACTGTGAGAGTCAACCAATCAGCTCCCCGCCACATTGTTGTCATACCGTCGGCATATGCATAAAGTTTAAGTTTGTCGACACGCCGACACAGGTCGACACCACAAGTATTAAGGAATAATAAAAACACACCACAAGTATCTACAACAGTAGTACGTAAGTCAGATACATAGGTTGTCAGACATTCTCTACTGCTGTCGCCTGTCATGTCACGGTACGAGCGGTTGACCTCCGTGTGCGGTACCATCGATCATGTACTGCTGTAGTCACCTCGCGGTTGGCTTCGGCACCGCGGCAACACAACAACACAACACAAGCGCCCGCTTCGCATATTCTGCATGATAGAGTGCACAGCAGACAACAGGCAGACACGTACTTTACCTACTGCTGTACAGCAGTACTGGCGATACGGTAGATAGCAATTTCAAAGTAGGTAACAACGATTAAGGAATAATAAAAACACACCACAAGTATCTACAACAGTAGTACGTAAGTCAGATACATAGGTTGTCAGACATTCTCTACTGCTGTCGCCTGTCATGTCACGGTACGAGCGGTTGACCTCCGTGTGCGGTACCATCGATCATGTACTGTAGTCACCTCGCGGTTGGCTTCGGCACCGCGGCAACACAACAACACAACACAAGCGCCCGCTTCGCATATTCTGCATGATAGAGTGCACAGCAGACAACAGGCAGACACGTACTTTACCTACTGCTGTACAGCAGTACTGGCGATACGGTAGATAGCAATTTCAAAGTAGGTAACAACGTCCCCCGCTGCTCTCGCCTAGAGGACAGAGATGGCGGGAAAAGCACGCTCAGCTCGAGAGCATACAATACGTGCGAAAAAGAGGGAAACACGGAAAAAAAGAACGAAGCGGAGCTGGGACTGGAAGTCTTGACCTGCGAAATATTTCACGATCCATCAAAGTCGACCATCACACCACTCGTCCGTTTCAGTTGCCACGTGTATACGGCACATGTTCAAGAAGATAAACCCCGAACACACTTGTGAGCGCCTGTAGTTTGCATCACGTGTACGCACACACGCCGCACTGCATGCTGCCATATATATGTATGGAAACGAAGCAAACAGCGAATGAATCCAGGTGGTGGTTGTAACAGCAGTAGCATGAATTCGGTACTTACCAAGTTATGTGTGTTTCGAGTTGCCAAATGTAAAGTACGTGCAGGCAAGGTCTTGCCGGTTGTTGATACCTGTCATGGCACGTCACGAGCGCGACCTCTCCCCGCGCACATTGTATAATCGACCACAGCAGGATAGTGACGTCCCGGTTCGTCTTTGGCACTCTCCAGCACCACAACCACAAGCGCAAACAACAGCATCGGCAAGTTAACACTGCTGTCCTCCTACGCTCCCACAACACTGCACAACCATCTCCCTTGGACATGCTTTTGTCACTGCTGTATCGCCCGTGGTGTCGTCCCATCCATTCTAAGCGCTAGTCTTTCGGCGTATGGTTGGCGTACTAGCCGCGGGGGCACAGAGGATGAAGCATGCCTTCGAGAGGATTCACCCGCCCCCCCCTTCAGTCGTACGCATTCGCACTCGAAATTGCGAGTGTGTGTGTTTGTTGTCTGAGAGAATCTGACCCACAACCTACACCTAGAAGATGACGCGAAACTAGTATCGTAAACTGCCGATGTATATAGTGTGCGTAGTCACAGCGACGCGGAGACACAAGAATTATGAAGTCGATTATATCGTGCAACGACATTCCCTGCAACTGACGTGTCTATCACGTTCCACTCCTTGCTGCGTCCACCCCAACAGCTGACGTCAAGAACAACCCTCGACCTGCTGGTTTTCCGTCTCTCTCTCACCCGCTTGCAAAATCTGATACAAGAGAGCACTAATATGCATACAGAGTACACGTAATAATGCAGCACACCCCCAAACCCATACCACACAGTAATTTTTGATAACTTGTGTACAAACCCCCTCCCCGAGAAGAGCTGAAAAAACAGCATCGATATGCGAAAGCAATACGCAGTGTACCAGATGGGTTCTGAAAAGTGTATGAACCTCTCCCTTCCTCCCCTCCGTAAAAGACCCAACCCATGACGGCAAAGGGGACGCCAGTCGCTCTCCACGACAGGCACTCCACCCTTCACAAAACTCTCGGCGAAACAAAAACACGACGCCACATACACTAGCAACCGGTGAGCGAGAGCTAGGCACAAACGGATGAACTGCACTTGGAAACATCAAACTTTTGTCGAAAGGCAGATCGGCCAAAGAAATTTACATGCATGAGATACATGCAACCCTTTACCGGGCGGTGGTTTTCTCCGTTCCCCTGAGGAATTTACCATCTCAGAAGAAAAGCCCCCGCAAGAGGGTAGGCGGGAACGTATCCCGAAAAACAATAGAAAAATACACCAAATGTAGTGCTCACCCCGACTGGACGTTTGTCTGACTCGTGATAAGAACGACATGAAAAGAAATCACGATAAACCCCCTCCTTAAACTCACTCCGCCCACCACAAAATTTCGGCCTTGACCGCAAACACTACTGCTGCTGTTGATGAACCGGCCAGGTGGTACTCAAGCCCCCTTCGATTACATGTATGAAAAGCCCCCCTCCCCCGGGCATTTAGCACCGGATGTTGCCAGCGGCACCGGGGTTTCTTACGTAATCGCCCCCCTCCCCGGGCGAACAAACATGGCACTACACATTCACACGCTTGCCATGCGGCCGAGGAACCGCAGCGCGTTCACCGCAGCGCTGGCGACCGGCGGCGCCGCCTCGAGGTCGGACGACGAAGTCCCGGAGCCCATCAAGAATGCTACCGTGGAAAGTCCAAGGAGGGCGCCGGCCAAGCCGCCGACGCAGATGGCCGCGCATGTGGCCGGCGGGATCGTCATCACCGTCGCCAGTATCGAGCTCGACGAGGGCGGGTCTGTCAGGATCGTGGCCAGGATCGATGCCGACGACACGAGGAGCCCTCGCCGCCTTGTCGTCTTCGGTGCCTTCGGTGCTGCTCTAGCAGCCGTCGCCGGGGATGGCATGTCCCCCAGGTCGGCATCGGTGTCACCATCGCTCTCTCCGGCCATGCTGCCGGTCTCGTCGAATTCAATGGCCTGCCGTAGGAAAGCGGCAGAGCAACGGGAGGGGGGGGGTGCGGTCGGGATGGAAATAGCGGTGGGTGTGCCAGCCAAGCGTGGGGGCCGGGATGGCGCCTCGCAGTCGGGTCATAGGCTGGCTTTGGTAGTGAACCATGTCCTAGCCAGCACCTCCAACAAACTCTCGCTTCACCCGCTCCACGGGAAAGGGATGCAGAATAAACTTCTTCGCCCGGGCAACCAACTCTCTCGAAGGGGGGGGGCAAGTCCAAACGAACGTCTTCTACGCTGCTGGGTGCCGTGAAATGTTCTGTTCCGAATCCAAAGTCTTGGGGGCCAAACTAAGCCGCGATCACAACCGCTGTTCTCCTATGAGTAGAGAAGGAGTTACCTCTGCCTGCCAACAAGCATCAGACTCCATAATCCCCATTGCAGTGGTCATGGAACACATTTAATCTCCCCTTCTTTGCACCCACGACACGTTTCCCATCCCGGGGTTGACATATCGTAGCATCGTAACAGGCGCTAAAATTGGGAGCTCGAGCTTCACACTATCCACAGCAGGTTGGGCTCTTCGAGACTTTCAGACGCCTCGACTTACATCTTCGTCGCACACAGAGGCGGCGGAATAGGTAGTGGTGGACGGCGGAGCCGTTGCCGTCGCCGATCGCACGTCCGCCAGGCTCTTACTTAGGTCGGCGAGGTCCACCCCCGACGAAACCTTCGGAAAAAAAAAGGGTGATGACGTCACACCCGCCACGACAAAAGGAGCAGATGTTCTTTCTTTTAATTCGGTTGACGCAACACGCACACCAAAATAAAGAAAGGGGCCGTTGCGGAACGGTCCGGACTGAGGGCGACCGGGGAGCAGAGCAACAAAGAAATAAGTGAAACTGTTTCTAACATAAATACGTTCTTCGACTCGCAGAGGATATTGGCATGCGTGAGTCGAGGCGAGCGTGGGTTGTAACCAACAACCCGGCAAAGTCGTCTTCACTTCGCGGGCAAGGGTATTTGTGTATAATGTCAAAAGGAGGGCACACAACTAGTTCAGCCGCGCGCGAGAAATATCGACATGGTAGTAGTCCTGAACCTCCAAGCACACCCCAGGCATGTCTCTTACACACGAACGTCAACACCAGGTCCCCCCAGACGCGGCGGAGAACGCTTCCAAAGTCACTCTCACGACAGGCACCACCCCCCGCTACCACAGCCGTAAGTCACTGCTATCACGGGAGATACCCCAACCACCGCCATCACCGCTGTCATCACTCTCGTCTCACCCGCGAGAGACCCACGGGGACCGCGTGGTGCTCCACGATCGACCAGCCGTAAGGATTGCCGGGGTTCCCGTCCCGCCGGAATGTGAACGTGAAGCGCGCCTGCCTCTCCACGGAGGCCCCGCCCTCCCCCCGCCAGGAGAACGTGTAGGTGCCGGCTTGGACGGCAAAGTCGCCGTACACCCTCACCGTCACCGGGGCGAAGTCCACCAACCGGAGCTCGGGGAGCCGGGAAAACTTGTCCTGTCACGTTCCGGGCGGTTCCGCGGGCACGACAAGCGGGGCATCACGAAAAATTGGCGGGCGCGGGAGGTTCGGGTAGGGATAAGTCTAGCCATACGGGGAAAAAAAAAAGAAGCGAGTTGTGTATAAGGAATGACACGATCAAGGTTTCATCCACACATGCATGCGTTGACGATCCTCACAGCATGGCTCGGGACGCGAAGGCGGTGGCTGGGAACTCCATTAGCTGCTTGTGCATCGGAGCTGAACGGTGGCCACGCGGGCGCAGGAGCGCCGTTCTACAGCCGTTCTTGCTGTCTTGGGGAAAAAGTAATAATCCGTGCCATGTTAGCGGCAACTTTCGACGTCGATCCCCTCCCCCACGGGAGCCTAATATTGTCCTCATGGAGCAGAATTCTACGCACCTTTGCTTCGCGGAGCACAGCTTCAACACCAAAAACGGCCACCAAAGCAACAACAACAACAACAAACATCTCGACAGAACATAGCTCCACTCACGAAGTACTTGTAGATGAGGTCGGGGGTATCGCGGATGGCATCCGAAACTGAACCCCACAGGGTGGCATCCTTGGCGTACAGGGCCGCGGTCTTGCGGGGAGCTTCGTCGGTGCCCAAAGCCACCGCACGAGTCCACATCACCGTGGCTGCCGCCACCGCTCGCTGGTCTGCTCGAACAACAAGAAAACGTTCACATCAATTCAGGGGCATTTAGTTGGTGTGATAGGGCTATCACTGACAAGTAGCAGCAGCAGCAGCGGCTGCAGAGCCGACAGCGGCTACCTGCCTCGTATGGCCAACTACAACAGCCAGCGATGGCAAAGACCCTCCGCAGCAACGAAGGACTTGACGCTGTTGCTTTCGACGGTCGAAAAAATTCGAGACGAATCCTTGAAGCAACCGACAGCCGCCTCCAACACACCCACCACGCACAAAACAAAAGGGGGGGGGGGCTGGGCTTTGAAGGTTGCACACATGTCACACTAGCACACAAGAGAAAATGTGCACACAAAGGAGTTACATACGCGTATTGTTATGTATGTTTTGCGTTCTCGTGTGCATGTGTAACAAAGGGATGGACACAACACCTGACATCACCAAAAAACGCCGCGGACGTTGCAACTCCTCCAACTCACCGGCATTGGGGTCGTTCCCGATCTTGGCCGCCTTCGTTCGGGGCGGGGTCGGATCGACCTGCAAGGCGTGGTCGGCAGGCAAGCAGCGTTAGATTTTTACACCATCGCACGTTTTCGCGGTTGGGTTTTTGGCTGCGGAGACTTTTAACATCGAGTTCATCACCCTTGAAACAAACGAAACTGTTCAAGACTCACAGGCTCGGGTGGTCCAGCAGCAGTTGCTGAAGCTGCTGCTGCTGCTGCTGCTTCAGGCGCGGTAGGCATCGAAGAAGAGTGGTGCTCCACGATCAGCCAGGGTCGGGGGGCTCCGCGGGTCCTGTCCCTCCGGAACGTGAAGCTGAAGCGCGCCCGCTTCTCCACGGGGCCCCCGTCCTCCCCCCGCCAGGCGAAGGTGTAGGTGCCGGCCAGGACGGCGAACTCGCCGTACACGCGGGCCGCCACGGGCGTGTACTCCACCATCCTCAGCTGGGGCAGCCGAGCGAAGCGCTCCTGTTTGTTTCCGAAAGAGAACGCAACAGCGGCGGCAGCAAGCAGCAGTTAGGCAACGGTTGTCAACGGTGGTGAAAAAGATGCAAATAATCGATATTTCGCGAGGTGGTGGAGGGCGTACGGAAGGCGCGAACCGGGGTGGGGGGCGCTGGGCAGATGGCATTTGCGGCAACGGCCTCGGCTTAGCTGTCCGCTGGAAAGTGTGCTATGAACACAAGTAGTATTGTCGCTCGGTCACGCTCAGCAAATGATCCACTGGCGGCCGACACTTACAATCTAGAGGAGGGGCGAGATGGGTTGGGAAGACAACGCTGTCGCCAGAAGCAAAAACCGAAAATAAAGGCCTGACGCGCGGCGCTCCGCGCTTCCGACTATTTTTTCGTACAATCGGTATGCAACGAGCTTTCACGATTAGCCTCCGCACTTAAATGACACTCATGTACCTGCACCTATATTGTAGCAAGCAGACTGTCACTTGTACGCCCAATCACTCGCTGCCACCACTAACCCCCCCGCCGCCAGTCACTCACGAAGTAGGCGGTGATCTGCTGCGGGGTATTGCAGACCTCCTCCGAGACCGTTTCCCACAGAGACCCGTCCTCGGCGTAGAGAGCCGCCGTCCTCCTGGGAGCATCTCGGGCGCCACTGGTCACAGCGTTCGTCCACGCGATAGCGGCCGCCGATACGGCCTTCTTGTCTGCTCCAAAACCAAGCCGTCGACAAAGGAAGGCGGGCGCGAGGTGACAACGTTTAGCGATGAAGACCGCAACCTTCGGTTGATTCAGTTCGGTCGGGGAGATAGCCAACAGTGGCAGAAGCACTCTGCCTGGCGAGATCACGTCGTGCGCATGTCGTAAAAGACACAAAAAAAACGTGAATAAAATGGGGTGGGGCGCACTACTGCTGTAGTTTGGGTGCCCGCGGCCGCGACACGTGAAAACAAAATCGAAACAGGGCAAACATGATCGATTCGGTCTCATCGGCGAAAAGAATTTTCAGTGCGACATGTTGGACCAATCGGGGTGAAGTGAACTGAAACGATCCTCACGTGCTATTTTGGAGCCATGAGTCGATCCTTCCGGACGACTGTTCCTGCCAGAGGTATAAGGACTCGAGATGGTGGACACAATCACGACCTCGATCCGACGTCCACACGTAACGCCAAGTACTTCAGTATTTGGTCAAAACTGGGGTCTGCTGCAGATACAGCTCACCTCTTTCCTCGGCTGAGATTCTTGGCGGCGTAGGCGTCCGCAAGGCTGGCGGCCGTACAACACTCCGGGAGGCAACTGGAAATAGGAAATAAATAATAAATAATAATAATAGCAGGAGTTCATGAAAAAATGCCGGCTTGTGCATGTGCGTGTGGTGGAAAAAAACAAGGGGTCGGGTGTCCAAAACACGCCAACATTGGCGGAGGTGCGGCAAGGCAGTGATTATGTTTCGACGCTTGCAAATAGCATACCGTATATGACACAAGATAACACACCCCATTGGCCGATTTTCAAAGCTCGATTTCCCAGCAGTAGGAAGAGTCACAGCGCCGAAAACGGCGGCGTTGGAACCGTCTCGTCGAGAGCTTTTCGGAAATGTATTGTTTCGCTTATGCATCCTCTTCGTCGTGAAGTAATCGAGCTTTGAAAATCGGTCCAGGGGGTGTTTTATCTTGTGTCATATACGGTCAACCATTCTTGGTTCCGTCTGTGTGGATCTACTGGCGTCTGGGACGCGCTTCTATTGCAAGGACAACTTTAACTTTGCGAGTCGACTGAATTCCACGTGAACATGCGACACGTTAGCCATCCATTTGGTTATGGTGTGCATGTCTTACGTAGTTCATGTACATAATACAGCAGTACGTGGCCATGGACCGAAAACACCTCGAGATGCTTTTCAGGAGAAAATGGACACAGAACGGGATGTTTTTGTGGAACTTCATAGAACGGGATGCGTTTGGAATACTGTACACCGATAAATAGTACCACTTCGTAGTGGGTGTGGGCTGGACCATCTAATTGACTGGACAGGTAGACCGACACGATGAAGAGAGAAAGAGAGAGAGAGAAGAGAGAGAGAGAGAGAGAGAGAAGAGACATGTTTCAAAACAACAATCTGTAATGATCTGCTTATCGGCGAATGGCCCATACGCGATGTGCGTGTGCGTTCGCATGGATTGCGGACATCGATCCGTACGACCACGCAGGACCCTAGGAGGCATATATTGGATACCGCAACGCCTGGGACAATTCTCAAAGCTCGACTAACTCTGCAGGGGGAAAAAGTGACCGCGCGCCGAAAATGGCCGAGATGGAAACCGTCTCCTCACAGGGCCTTCAAAAACGCATCACACAGCAGCAGTAGATTTGGGGACCCGCTTCGACCTGGAGCAGTGAATGAAGTAGCTGACACTTCTTCTAAAGTGTTGTTGTCCTTGTGTGTGCGACCTACCATGTACTTACGGCGGAAACGTTTCAACACCTTTGGTTGTATGCACGTGTTTCTGCATGTTTGGGCAACACAGCTGGGGAGAGCCACACAACAGAGAGGAGATTCGTTTCTATTTTTTTTTCCCCACCTTGCTGTTGCAGCTTCCGCTCAACCGGAACTGACGGCTACGGCCAACGCAAACTACGTTATTTACTATTTAGATGTTTTGGACAGCAACAATTCAACACTCACGACCATGCCGTCCTTACCATAGAGGCGCACCGTTACGATACGTCCCTGCAACAATACTCTTGATACAAAATATCTGCAATTCTTCGTTTATTGCACCCTACTCGAAATATACGTGCAACAAGCAGCAACCAGCAGCAGCAGCCAGCTGCTTGCATGCATGCAACCAAGCACCAGCAGGCTCAATGTTCCAAAACCACACAAAAAAATCTTGCTCTTTGGAGCGGAAGCATGAACAAGCGTCTCAGCAGCAACTAGATGCGGTAGACGGTAGACCCACCTGGAGATGGGCTGCTCGCGCTCAGAGGGAGCGTCGCTCTCCGTGGGGACGCGGTCTTGGACACGGTGGGCGGGAGCGGCGGGAGGGCCGTGGCGGCCGCCGCCGCCTTCTTCTCCTTCCGCAGCTTGTGGCTCTGGGTCTGCAGGCGGCGTCGCTCCTGCTGCCGCTGCTGCATAAGAATCATATTCTTCTCGGGCATCATCAACTCCTCCTTCTTTTCTTCGTCTGCTGCTGCTGCTGCTGCTGCTTGCCTAGTAGGACGACTCCTCGAAATGCTGCTCTTGCCGTTGGGATTTACGGCAGCAGCAGGGCCCCTGCTTTTCGCGGATTGGAGCACGGCGCCGGCGGTACGAACACGGGTTGCTCGAGGCGGCGGCTCTGTTGCTCCCTTGTGCAACAGCGCCCGCACCAGCTGCTCGAAGCCTTGCTCGGCAGCGAGGGCCAGGGGCGTCGCGCCGTCGCCGCCCCCGTTCTCGTTGTCCACCTCGTTGGGATCGGCCCCGGCCAGGAGAAGGTCATACGCGATCCGCTCCTGCCCCCTCCTGACCGCCATGGTGAGGGCGAGGGCCAGATCGGCCCCCGCCGCGATGAGCGTCCTCGCGACGGACTCGTGCCCGCCACGCACGGCCACCTGCAACGGCGTACCTCTGTACCGCCAATGAGCGTGCGAGGCGGACTTGATGTTGATGTCAGCCCGGGCCGGAGTCCGGAGCAACGCCGAAACGACGCGCTCGTTGCCGCTCGCCGCCGCCGCGTGGAGCAGGGTGCGCCCGTCCTCCCCTATCCCGCCCGCGGCGATGCCGGCCCCGGCCTCCAGCAGCTTGTCCACGAGGTCCGAGTTGCCGGAGTCGCAAGCGAGGTGCAGAGGGCCCTGGAGCCAATCCGCAAACTGATCGGGTTCAGCCTTGCTGCGCATCATCTCGAACGCCAGCGATTGCTCTCCTTTTCTCTGCAAGACTTCACGATTCTCTCGGTAGTGGGCCATGGCAGCTCCCTCTCTTGCGGGTCGGATGCGCGCAAACGGGGGATGGAGAGAGAGAGAGAGAGAGAGCGATTAAAGGAAGGAAGATCAGCTGTTCTGTGTGGCTGGTGTCTCTAACGGCCAACGGCCCACATTTTTCAAACATCAGCATATAGGTGAGAATGGGTTTCAGTATTGTTCGCGAGGCGTTATTCCTGAACTCGGGAAACTGTCAGTATTTATTCTGTGTGCGTTGTCGACTAAATAGACCGACCGACCAATGTAGCCTATGGAAAATAGCCAAGGACTGAGGTCATCTTAGCAGAGACACATGATGACCAAGGGCTGCTGTAAAGCATACGGTGTAGTTAATAGCTACAGATACACCAAGCAAGGGCATAAGCTGTACCAATCAGAGTGCTGAGTTGATGCTTGTCATCAATGAATGGGGTGTGCATAGCCAATGATGTGTATAACGACTTTGAGGTAGGACCGTCCGGTAGCTTGGCTCCGTTAAGCCTTGCACACCAGATCACTCTTGCTTCCTACCCTCAGTTCGCCGTACAGAATTGTGAGCAGAACAAGCTTGAGTCAACCAAGAGTCCACAAGAGACACACTGCTGAGGCAGAGCACACACAAAGCCACGCTTGAACGCACGTACGTGCAACGCACACGTCCAAGCTAGAACCTGCAGAACTAAAGAGGCGATATCGGTTCTCCTCTCAGTGGCGTCAGCGGCAGGATGAACCCCAAGTATTGTTTCGGAGGGAGAGAATAGGGAAGACGATAATATACCTGAGCCTACGGAAGATATGGTGCCATTTGAAGAATGGGATAGCCAAGAAGCGAGGGATTTTGGGAAGAATCTCTACTGGAAAAAGGCTATAGATTGGTTGGGCTGAAGCTCAGAAAAAGGACGCAACTTCCAGAACGGCAATCCCGTTTTTACAGAAAGGGACCAAAATGTCTGAAGTTACGGAGGGTGACTTACCAAAGGGTGTGGACATTGAGGGAGTTAAAAGATTATTGGCACAAGGTGAACTCTTGGAGTTAGCAGATGGACAGAATTTGTTGGTAAAAAGTTTAACCACAATGCCTGCTGATCGACCTGACAGGAATCCTGGAGTGTACGAGAGGTTACTTGGGGAAGAGTCTGTACGAACTTAGGGTGTTTCTTATCGACCAATAAAACACGAAAAAAAAACCGAAACCGTGTTTTCTTGAACACATATGGAGGCGTTTTTCCCCGAAAGCGTGAAAAGAAGGAAGGAGTCGTTTTTTTTTGGGGCTTGCTACTTTAACGAATCCGTGTTTTTGACAGAAACATCGGACAAGCGCACCGCGGGCGCTGTAACATCACTGAGAACGCTAGAAAGACCTGACAGACTCACGTCCAGGTCTATTGTGGAGATGGACAAGCGGCAGAAGCGGCGTTCAGTCCGTTCTTGGCCCAAAACTAGGCATTGCGTGGTGCTCTCGTCTTCAACTGCTGCTGTTGGTGCTGTTTTTTTTTTTTTAATCACACATAGCAAACACGGAAACAGTAGAACGAGTACAGCAGCAGCACCAAGACCTCCAACGCGCTGATTCCTTCGGTTCGGCTGTCTATATGATACCATCTCCCGGCGCCGTGCTGCTTCGTGGGTATTGGGTGCTTGGATGCTGCTCAATAAAGTGTGTGAGAGACGTGTGCCACCTCACCAAAATGCCGTTGGAAAAAATGCGGCGAGATGATCTGTTTTTGGTCGGACGCATCAACATCAATCCAAGGCACCACGCAGCAGTAGAGCAACAGGGCCTCCGACACGCTAATTCTTTCGGATTGGCCATCTATATGATGCTGGCCGTCAGCGCGGCTGCCGCCCTATGATTGTTGAGCTCGTCTACCTTTGGGTAGGTGGTGGTCAAAGATGGGAGTCGCAACCGTGAAAATGAGCTGGCAAACTGAAGAAATCGCAAGCAACACCAAGGTGGCGACACTCTGCCCTGCGCCTGTTGTTGCTGAAAACTGAAAACAGCAGGCCAGGTGGACGGGATCTTTCTAAGAGTGTTGTCCTCTGTGTCGGGTGCTGCTTGTTGCGCTTTCACCGCTGCTCTATGGTGAGCAATACCATGTCAACGTGTTGTGTGTCGAGCAAAACGTGTATTCAGGGAAGGAAACGAACTCTTCGCGATGACATCACGATTAGAACAAGCGAAAAATAATCGAATCTTCTTTTCACCGTTCCGTGAAAAGAAGCGTTATTTCGTTGCGTTAACAACGACCCTTACGTGCCGATGCTTCTGAGACCTTGGGTGATGGACTGCGCACATCGGGAAGCCATTCATTTTGGTGAGAAAGTTACCGTTGCAATCCTGAAAAGGTTTTATTGGTGGGTTGGTCAAAGCCAAAGTGTCAAGTGGTGGTGCCGCGCTTGCTATGCATGCCAGGCTGGGAGGGACACCTAGACACACAAAAAGGTGGCCCTTGGTATCATTATCCTTACCGAGAAGACCGGGTGAAATGGTGGCTTTCAATTGTTTAGGCCCTATACCTAAAACTCAAAATGGAAAGCAGTACGTGTTCCTGGTGGTGGATTTATTCAGCAGATACGCTGAAGCATGTGCTTTGACCGCCGAAGAGAAGACAGCCCAAAGATGTTCTTCTGTACTAGTGAATCAGTATATTCCAAAGTGGGGATGTCGTCATACGTTTGACAGAGGTACAGAATTTACTGCCTTTGTTAGCAGAGCGGTATATCGTATGCAGGGAAATGAAAAGATGTTTACTAGCGCTTATCATCCGCTAACAAATGGCATGGTGGAGAGGCTGGACCATGCACTTTGTCAGATGTTGTCTCACCTGATTTCAGATGATCAGACAAATTGGGATGAGTTTTTGGGAATTGCTATTTCAGCCCATAGCAACAATGTCAGCAGAGGAACGGGGTTGTCCCCAAACGAAGTGCATATAGGCCGGTATACCAGGTTACCCATGACGATTTTGGAAGGTCGTGGCGTGAAAGGTCACCAAAGCCTGAGGCAGGATCAGTTGGATTACCTCAAACTGCGGGAGAGACAAATCAAGGCATACCAATTGGTCAAAGAGGAGGACAGGTTGATAAAGGCAAAGCATGAAAGAAAAACGAATCCCTAAAGGAGAAAATAGGGAATCGAAGACCAAAAATTGAGAAAGGACATTGGGTGTAGCTGTACAATAAACAATGTGTTGTTGCCTGAGGAGGGAAACATGTTCTAAAGCCCCAAGATCTTAAATCGGGAGACCGAAAGTCCTTTGCTTTGTTGGCTAAACTGACTTATTGCTGGACGGAGCCATATAAAGTGTCATTCGTTGGACCCGGTACTGCTCCTGATGGCCGGAAAGTGAAACCGAAATTGGTTTTAATTGATGTGAGGAAAGATGAACCTGGAAAGGATATCACTTCCAGAGTGTCTGTGTTGAGGGTCAAGAAGGGTTTTAACCCCCATTCAGAGGCAGACAAACCAAACTTCTTGCCTTGGGCAATGAGTAACTACGTCATCAACAAATACTCGGAGCTATCACCACCCTACCATCTGACGGATGCAGATGTGCAGTTGAATTTGGACACGCATAGAAACATTCCTTGGAAGATGTCTAAGCATCGGCTGGTGCGAGGATTATCGGGAAAATTGCTGTTCAATAATATTCTCATTGGGACGAGACTGAACCTTGCACATGGGAACATGAGGAGGAATTGACGCAATATGGAATTATTGTAATGCGGTATTGGACCGGCAAGATTGAGTTGGTCGGTGGAGAGAATGCTAAATACCGGAGGTATCGAGTACAATGTGCTAAGAGAGTTGCTGCACGACTGACTGTTGGAAGACATGTTGCAGAGGGGTTTAAGGTCTGCTGCGACACTCGGGAGCGACCCACCTTATATGGCACTGACATAATCGAATCATACATTTATTACAAAACGTGTGATTCCGGATGGCAGATTGCTAAGGTGACGATGGTGGCGAAAAATGACGAGAGTGTGGAGCATCCTCATACGATCAAGTTCTTGGATCTCGCGAGACAAGAAAATGTTCACCTCAAGCTGGAGAATCTCAAAACGTTTGACGAAGAGCCTGGTACTTGGTGCTGGCACGTACACACGAGGTTACGAGGAAGAGACAGCGTGAAGAGCTTCCGATATACTATGGATTGAAGATCGTCGGAACGAGGACAAGAAAGAAGATCAACTACTGCTGACCAGACCAGAGGAAGCCGAGGCGGAAAAGTAAAGAATTACTAGTAAACGATATGGTCCATTCTGGGCTAACGGTTACTATGGTTAGATAGGGATGTAAACGCCCCGCCTCGATGTTTTCATAATCGGTGTTGGCATGATTGATCTCTAATTATTTTGTTTTTGTGTATGTTTCATAAATTGTGTGTTTGTTTGTTATTTGTTGCAATGTTGTTATTTGTGGAATGGAAGTTATGTGTTGTTCTGTGGTGTCCGTTAATTGTTGTTACTTGTGTGTTGCATGTAGCGATTCGTAGGATCATTTAGTTCGTGAAATAAGGACTCGGGATGGATTGAGGATGGTTACTAGTGTACACTATTTATATTTATATGTAGAAGGGATTTATTTACGGCTGACAATGTCTTGTTTTAGGGAAATATGGCAATTATGGTAATATGGAGCATAGGTGCGAGCAGGTACCATCTCACCTGCTAGGTGTTGTTCATAGGCACAATCTTCAAAGTATAGATTGACTTATGACCAGGGTGGGCTGATGTGGTGAGAATGGGTTTCAGTCTAGTTCGCTAGGCGTTATTCCTGAACTCGGGAAACTATCAGTATTTATTCTGCGTGCACTGTCGACTAGACCGACCAATGTAGCCTATGGACAGTAGCCAAGGACTGAGGTCATCTTAGCAGAGACACATGATGACCAAGGGCTGCTGTAAAGCATACGGTGTAGTTAATAGCTACAGATACACCAAGGGCATAAGCTGTACCAATCAGAGTGCTGAGTGCTGAGATGCTGGTCATCAATGACGTGTGCATAGTCTATGATGTGTATAACGACTTTGAGGTAGGACCATCCGGAAGCTTGGGTTCGTTAAGCCTCACACACCAGATCACTCGTGCTTCCTACCCTCAGTTCGCCGTACAGAGCTGTGAGCAGAACAAGCTTGAGTCAACCAAGAGTCCACAAGAGACACACTGCTGAGGCAGAGCACACACAAAGTCACGCTTGAACGCATGTGCAACGCACGTCCAAGCTAGAACCTGCAGAACTAAAGAGGCGGTATCGGTTCTCCTCTCAGTGGCGTTATCGGTATCAAGCTTGCTTGTACGTGGTCGGCTGTGTGCCGTCTTCCGAGTAGCGTTCTCAGCGTCGCGCCGACGCCAAAGCACTCGAAGCCGCGAGCGTCGTCTCGCCGCTGCGCCCACGGGTCAGGCCGCGTTCGTTCGCAGTGTCGCCGCTGCCGTCTGACGAACCACACGCGTGTTGCCACCGTCGGGGGAGTTGCCGCCGCATCCCCGACGAGTGAAGGACCGTTCGAGGAACTCGGCCACGGGGGATCGCCGACGCCGCACGGGTGGTCGGTGAGGGCTGTGCGAGCATCGCCGAGGTCGGAGCCGCGCGCTGCTCTCCTGTTCGCGTTCAAAGCTTATCTTGAAGACCTGAATGAAGGTGTTAGTTGAAAGTAGGTGTTCAGATGGTTGGTTTTGCGGAGGACGGTACGCTGCAGGTAGCCGTGAAGGCAGGTGTCACCGATCAGTTTTCCACGTTGACCGCTCCGGTGTTGCATGGTAGGAACACGCAGGACTTGCCCTATGACTCGTTAGAGAGTCTCATGGAGGCTCTGGATGATATGACCGACAATACTACGACTGCACCGGCTTCTGTGCGTGTGCGGGGAGTGGAATTCGTTGTGCCACGAGGGCAAGCGGGCATGTCGGTTAGCTCCCGAGGTAGATAATGTGGTGGTGGTTCGTTTTCTGGGGCCACAGATGGTTCCCTGATCCCGCAAGGTAGCGCGGGTGCGCGTGCGGTGATGACGATGTCGCAGTTTGACGATGAGTCGAGAGAATTCTGGCAAGTTAGCCAAGTGATGCGCGGGAACAAAGGATTTGGAC